CCAGAGCTTTATCAAGTAGTGGCTGATTACTGCTTTGTGAAGTACAGCCCATTCAAACAATAAGTAATGTATTATTTAATTTCAAACATATTATATCTACTTTAGATAATATTCAGTTTACTTCAAATAATATTTTATTTACTATAAATATTTAATTTTGCACAGTGAAGAGATTGGGAAATTTGAAAGTCTTCTCATGATAACAAGAGATGACACAACATCCCTAGCTCCAATAGCCCCTGCTCAAATAATAAAATCTAATATAGTTCAATGTTGGTCATTTCTTATGAATGATTCTCGATTGAAAGAAGATCCTTCATGCTTTTTTTTTTGGCATTGACCACGATGTAAGAGTTAAATAAAATGTTAAGCTAAATCATAATTAAACATGTATGATCTCATTATGTAATATGTTTTATGTGCTCATTAATACACATAGACCTCTAGAGTTGTCTCTCAGGTCACAAGATGGTTCCCAACAAACAGATAAAGCACAAGTGAAGTCTCCTTCAATACACTCACAAGAATTGAATTAGACATGGTATGATTGGATGTACCTATATGATGCAAAGGAGAAAATTTTGACAGCTCAGTTGATATGTCTTATTATTCATGTCTATTAAACTACATTGTAGGGCATTATAATTTTAAATTTGTAGACTAATAACTGTAATTTCAATGACAGATTTTTGTTCCAATCTGTCTGAGTAACCACTATAGTTTGATAGTGGTTAACTTTATGAATCAGAAAATTCAATACTTGGATAACAGGGAGTATGATGACAGGCATAAGCCTTTCTACATAATTCTTGGATCTATTGTGGTAAGATTTTTTTTCTTTATAAAAAGTAAATTATAAAAGTAAATAAGACTACTAGTAAAGTAAATGAATATGTATTTAAAGTATACATTATAATGTCTATAAATAAATAAGATAAAATATAAAATAAAACATGTTCAGATTAAAGTAAATAATATTCTTATTAAAGTAAAAGAATATCTATTAAAAGTATACATTATATTACTTGTAAAAAATAATATAAAATATAAAGTAAAAGATGTTCTGATTAAAGTAAATCATATGTTTATTAAAGTAATTTATAGTATTACTTATACATTACTTTACATATGTTATAGGTGGAGGAAATGTCAAACTTTCTGAAGAGAATTAATCATGAAAAAGCTGATGAAATACTAGAATATGAGTTTGATGAAGTAAACTTCAAATGAAAGACACCAAGATATACTCTTGATTGTGGTGTTTTTGCAATGATACATATGCTGTGTTTTTCTGGAGACACTTTTGATTCTGACCTTGATTTAGCAAATAGGAGAAAGGTGTATCGTGTAGAAATATGTGCTACTCTTTCTTTGGCAGACATAAACACCAAAAGAAAACAACTTACGGGAAAAATTTCAAGGTAGTTAGGAAACTAGAGAAGGAGAAAGGGGTGGAAAATATGATATGTGTTTCTGATTTCTTGAAGAAACACAAGGAAGTAATGGATAACATGAGTTTGACATGTCACCAAGTGATTGACTACTTAGCAATCAATGATGAAAACTTTCCAAACAAGAGGTATGTTTTATACTTGCTAAAAAACAAACTCATATTGCATTATATATAAAATTGTTTGCCATAATTATAACTTTAATTTTAATTCAAAATTACAGCGAAGTAGTTGGATGGTTTATAGATTCAATTGAAATAGTAAGGCAAGATTGTAACGCTTTGCTCAATGAATGGAAAGTTTCAAGTAATATGATCACTGCTTGGTCAAACCACCTCAATAACATTGAAATGCAAAAAGACAGGTCTGAAAATGACTTGGCCAGATTCTTCTTTGGATTTGAGTTCATGGTAAGTTTTTCTGATTTAATTTTATAATTTAAAATTATGCATTAAATAAATATTAGAAATAATCTTTGGATTTTTTTTGAAGGATGCTTTAACAATGTGTTTGAATGCTCATGGGAAAAAAAGAATAACAAGTCTGCAAAAACTATGGATTGATTGGAACAGTTCACAATCATTGGACTTGGATGCAGCTCAATGTGTAAGACAAAATTAATATTTAAAGTAGAACAATATATGTTTAAAGTAATAAAAAACAGGTTTAAAGTAAATATGTGTAAAACAAACCTATCTGCAGGTATATATACCTTTGAAGATGGAAGATCATTATTTTCTTGTTGTGATAAACTTCAAAGATGAAACAATTGATCATCTAGACAACACTTTGTACGAGACCAATGAAGAATATGAGCATGTACAGAGTTTTATCTTAGAAACTGTAAAATATCAATAGATTAAAAAAATGTCTATAAATTTATTTTTTAATGTCTCATATTATATTAATATTCATTGCATTGCAGGTGATACAAGTACAAAAATTGTTTAAAAAAGAAAGCATCCACAAGCAAATGATATGCTATCCTACAAGCTGAGAATAATTGAACTTCCATTCCAAAAAGAAAAAGAAGATAATTTCTCAGCAAGCTATCTACTGCTACATATGAAGGTTTATGATGGTGCAAATGGGATAGGATTAGGAACAATAAAAGAGGTAAGTTAGCATACTTAATTTTGAAGTCCTTAAACTCTATACTTATCTAATAATTTATTTAAACTAAAGTTAATCTTCTATTTTTTTTACAGGAATTTCCAAGACTGAATCACCATCACATAAGAACAGTGCTTGATCTACTTCTCAATGATAAGAATCAAATGAAACAAACACTGCTTACAAATGTTGAGAATTGGGAAGAGAAGAAAGCATTTGAACAATTGTAAATGATATCAGTAGATTTGAATATATCATAGATATTAGAATATATCAGTAGTTTTAAGTAGTATGTTTCTATAAAGAATACATATTATATCCATAAGTTGAATTACTATTATTATTCTGTGTCAAAAATGGTGGTAGATGTAAAAGTAGAAGAAATCAATCAAAAAGTAAATGAAAATAGTGTTAAAGTAAATAACACTATGTTAAAGTAAAAGAAAAAAGTTTTTTTTTTTAAAAAAAACCTTTCTGAAATATGGTGTTCGATTTTAAAGTAAACAAAAATATTGTTAAACTAATAAAAAATGGATCTAAAGTAGAGATGGAGATGGAAAAAAGTATTAAAGTCAAAACAAGAAAAAAAATTCAAGTCAAAAACATGTTATTCGATTATAAGTGAAAGAAAATAGTGTTAAAGTAAATAACACTATATTTAAAGTAAAAGAAAAAAAGTTTTAAAAAAAAAATTTCTAAAATATGATTTTCAATTTTAAAGTAAAGAAAAATACTGTTAAATTAATAGATAATGGATTTAAAGTAGAGGTGGAAATGGGAAAAAGTATTCACGTCAAAAAAAAAAATCAACTCAAAAACATGTTATTCGATTATAAGTAAAGGGAATTAATTCGATTATAAGGACGGAGTGGATCGGAAGTTGGCCTATCAATCCCCATCTCTTTCCCCACGACGCCACAACGGGTACAATATTTTAATTCACTTAATTCTTTTATTAAATAGTATAAAAGTATATAATTTTTCTTTTAAAGATATATATGTGGGTATGAGTTGGGGATAGGGCGGGTACAAAGTGGAACGAGTAGGGTAAGGCAGGGATGGGGCGGGTACAACTTAAATACTCCATCCCCGCCCCACCACTCACCAAACTGAGACCCATCCCCACCAAACTTGGGATGGGTCAAGTCTCCTACTTGACATGCCCCACATCCATGGGTGGAGGTAATTGTGAAAGTGGTAATTAAATTCTTTGTCACACTAAAGAAAATACAAATTTTAAAAATATTGTTTTTTGGAAGGTCATGCACCACACTATTTCAGTAAGAACGAGTTTGGTTTGGGTTAAGTAAGAATGGGTCGTATCTATTCGAGTTAGGTCAATAGGAATTAATACCGTAACCTATGTTGATCAAACACAGATTGGGTCATGCTTAGCTTGAGTTGAATTACAACCGGCCTTACATCTTATTAGGTATGGTACAGGTTTAGGTGAGTTTAATAACAGGTCAAGTTACATTCAAGTCAAGTAAATAATTAGCAAGTTAGAGAATTAAGTCAATCTAGAATTTTAGACGAATTTGGTTCAAGTCAATAATTTTACGACTTATAATCAAGTTGAAGTCACCAAGTCAATAATCTATGGGTTACATTTAGGTCAAGTCATCTACACGTCAATTCATGTTCGAGATCGGGTCTCAAATACTATTGTAAATTCGGGTTCCATGAAAAATGTGACAAGTATTTTAGAACAAAAAATGGAATGGTAACAACTATTCTAGAACAAAATGAGTAATACAAGATATTATCTTTAATTTTGTAAATAAGAACATTATATATATCAAACAATTCATATGATATAAAAGTAAACATAAATTGTCATAAAGTTAATGTATAATAGCTAAAAGTATATAAACTGAACTTAAGTTCTATAGTACAATTACTTATAATCAAAATGTAAGAATATTACAATAATAAAAAAAATAATAAAAAAATTGTTCATTAAATCTTGATCTTCCAAAACATCTTTTAATTTCCAAGTATTATAATAACTGCACAAAAATAAACATCATTTATTTGTGACAAATTAAAGTAAATAAATTAGATTGTAAAGTAAATAAATTACAACTTAAAGTAAATAGGAAAAGTAAAAAATACCAAATAAAAAAAAGTATCAAGTATAATAATACCTGCACAAAATAAAAATTAAATGAAGTTAAGGTTAAAGTAAATAAATAGAAGTTTAAAGTAAATTGAACACATTTAAAAGTAAAATACCTGAAAAATTACTTGTTTGGACAATTATCAAGTATAATAATACTTGCACAAAATAAAAAGTAAATGAAGTTAAGGTGAAAGTAAATGAATAGAAGTTTAAAGTAAATTGAACACATTTAAAAGTAAAATACCTGAAAAATTACTTGTTTGGACAGTTTCTATTGTCATGGGAAACACCAGATTGCCCACAAGCTCTACAGGTTATGCCCTTTTTGGATTTTTGTTCAGTAGCGCTATTTCTTTTACACTCTTCAACCGCTTTGAACTTCTGGCAGAACCTTTATTAAGACACTGATTTGGAGGCAAGATATTAACATCTACTTCATTTGACCCAACCAAAATCTGAATATCAGCATCTTTCACCTCTTTTGAACTAGGTGCATTTTCAGGATTATTCTTTGATATCATCTTCTACTCAAATGAAGATAATATCCTAATAAGCTCAGATAAATCATCCTCAGATTGGTCAGTTAAACTCACACAATTGAAAATCTTGGACCATACATCACTGACCAATTGCTTCTTCTTATCATACTTAGAAGCATCATCCAGAGCAACATTTATGACAGAAGCTTTCTTCAGAACATTTTTTCTCCAACGATTCTATATAAGGATCGGGAATTTCACATATACACTTGCCTTTCATAACAAATAGAATGTGTCTACATAAAACACCTTGACTCTCAAACATTCTACAAGTACAACTTGACTCATATGTGGCCAAGTCAAAAGTTACATAAAAAATTTTCCTTTTCTCACGATCAACAATAATAGAATACTCCACACCATCTCCATACAGAGAACTACAACTTTCAACACCACATGAAAAATAGGCTCCCTCGCATTCTTCTTGAAAATCATAAAATATGGCACGAGTATAAACAACAGCAGCGTGCTTTTCCAAGTGTAAATGAGTAACCAATTGAAGCCCAAGTTTATTAAGCCTGAACAACTCATCCTGTTCATGCCTTTGAGCATCAAGAGCAGTTTCACAACGGACAAAGAATTCAACACAAGTCACATGAGGGTTAGTAAAATTACAAAAGAAATTATTTTCACCTTCAGACCTAGAAGTAGAACGCAGTATACCACCCATAAATAAGTCCCTAAAATATGCAGGAATCCAAATATGTTTAATCTTGAACATGTATGCAAACCACTCATGATCGACAAGGTCAAACTCCTCCATAACACTATTCCAGCCATCAACAAATACATGAGGATCAATTTCTCTATCCCAAACTACTACACTTAGCTTTTTCAGGAAATCAGTTTCATTACAAAAAGCAGTTCCAACCTTTTCAGGTACCTTCCTCATTATGTGCCACATACATAGCCTATGTTTAGTCTTGGTAAAAACCTTTTCTAAGGCAATACCCATTGTAGGATATTGATTAGTGATAATACAAGAGGGTTCTCTTCCCATGCACTTCAAAAAAGTTTGAAATAGCCACAAAAAAGAATCTATGTCTACTTTAGATAATAGAGCAGCACAATTTGTAACACATCTCTTGTGATTATCAACACCAGTAAAAGGACAAAAAGCCAATGAATATTTATTTGTATCATAGGTAGAATCAAAGGATAAAGAGTCCCCAAATAATTGATAATCTCTTCTACCAATAGTATCAGCCCAAAAGACACGGGTCAAATGCCTGCTTTCATCAACACAGTAATCAAAATAATAACCCCCTTTACTGGTTTTCACTTTTTGTTCAAGAATCCGACAAACATCGCACCATCAGCATTAGAGATATAAACTTTCAAGTCCCTAGAAATTTTTTTGAAATCATTGTTACTGCCCCTGACATTTTCAAACCCACTACAAAGTTCTTTCATGATCGTAGAAGACATAACAACCCCTATATTTAACTTTGAGTTGTTAAAAATAAACTTCTTACGAGAAAAATTTAAACCAACTTCATGTTTAATAACCTGCCTAGTAGTAGGTGTAGAAAAAGGATGAGAATGATATTCATAAAACAATAAACCATATACTTCCCACCAGTACAAAACCTAAATTTTATCTTAGCAGGACAAACAACTCTCTTCACAATTCTTTCTCTTTAAACAAGAACCTTCAACTTGTATACCAGATTTCTTGTTATTTGTCACATACCCTTCTTTGCTACATAATAAATATTTAATTACAGTAACTCCTTTACCTGTAGGATCATCCTTATTCTTTTGTGATTTAGTAGTACTAGAACGGACATTAAATCCACATTCATTAGCATATTTGTAATAAAAAGGCAATACCATCTTAAAGAGTATCAAATATCATTCCAACAAAAGGTTTGTTTTCCAAAGAACAACCTGACATATACTCTTTATCACCTTCATAATTATAATATATTTTAGGAAGCAAAGGCTGAGTGGGTGTTTTGGAAATTCTTACATTGTTATCTTCAATAGCGACAGAAGAACAACAATGCTCTACACTTTCAGACATGTTCCTGAAAAGTAAATGAATCGAAGGAAAAAGTAAACAAACAATAAATAAAAGTAAATAAATTATAACTAAAAGTAAACAAAATTTTTAAAAAATAAGCTAATGAAAACTATTAGAGATATACTAAAAAGTAAATGACTCAGTGCATAAAGTACAAAAAAAAAAAAAAATTTAAAAACTTGAAGAAACTAAAAAACATGAAGTTATAAGGATATGCAGAAAAAATCTACAATGAATTTCGTAAGTGTAAAACAACAACAAATTATACAACTTGATTAATAACAGCAAGCAATATAGCAACTATATGCAAAAAACATCTACAATGAATTTCGTAAGTGTAAAGTCATAAAATAGAAATTAAAACCAAAATCGTAAAAGTAAAACACAAAATCAAACACTAAATTGTATAGAATAATTCAAAGAACAATTAATAAGTAAAAATTGATAAAAATTAAGATAAAAACCACTAAATAGGAAAACACGTAATAAGATAAATAATGAAACCAAAATAAACGACGAAAATACAAGTATAATTAGAAAATTACCTCAATGAATGAAAAAAATCGAAGAATACGATGTAATTGAAGATGAAAATCAAAAAATCTGGGCAAAAAATTCGCTTAATCGAAGAACTCAGATCGCGGGCAGAGAACTCAAGGTTAGAGAGAGAAAATGAGGACGCGAAGAGAGAGAAAATGAAGGAAGAGAGAGAGAAAGAAAGGAGGTCATTCAAAGTGGCTAAATTACCAAAATGCCATTACTGAAATGAAAAAGGCGGGTGGGATGTCAGCCGTTGGATTAAGGACGATCAACGCACCAGATTAGTTCCTAGTTCCTATTCTATGCTTAGGTTCTCACAGGATCCCATTTATATATATATATTGATGATCACAAATGAAATAAAATTTTTTTTTTAGAATTTTTTTTTTTATAACTTTTTAAAAAATACGACTACAGCGCAAACTGCATTATGCGGTGCGGATTGAAAAAAAATAAAAAATCGTAATTTTGCAATTTGTTGTGATTTGAAGCACTAAGTGTAGGGAATTATAGGTACTACGCAGCGGAAAAACATGAATCATATTCATACAGTACCTAATCCCAAGATCTAATGCATAACACATAAAGAACATATAATCGTACCTTTGAAGCGTGATTCCACGTGCGATCGAGCAAGAACAATGGGAGATAAAGAACCTCATGCGTGATTCCTCTACTTGGTCCACGTGCACAGATTAAGACATCCACTAATGCTAGTTAGTTGCAATTGAACCCTTCAATTGACCTTCTATGGAGAAGTGCGAGAAACGAACCACCATGAACCACCACGAACCATCACACGCGCCACCAAGGTGGCCGGCTGTACGGACGAGGGGAGGAGAGAGAAAGTCGTGAGTTAGAGAGAGGAATTAGGGTCTTTGGGATTGGTTGCCTTGATGTCAAAATACACTGTGTGTGAATTATAACTGCTTACTTTTAACCCTAGGCATGAATGTTATTTATAGATCTCATCTCTAAATAAGAGCCCATGTCAAAAGCCTAAAACCTAATTCTCATCTAACTATGCTAGCCCAATCCATTTCATGATTAGTTAATTGCTCATGAAGCCCATTAATGGGCCTCTAACTTACTTAACCCAATACCCTTGTGTGTGACCTCATAGGATCCATTCTAGCGGGGTTTGGACTATTTGACTAGCCCAAAGATCATTTCTCATAGTCTAGCAACATATGATGACGCCCCAAGAGAACGAACTTATTATCTCTATAATAGTGATCCTTGATATATCTAGTAATTGCACTTATCGAAGACACAACTCCTTCACTAAGCCGCATCGAAACTACACTATGAACACCCGTGGAAAGGATATAATTCAAATCAGATCGTATAAAATCATGTAAACATAACCTTGCCTAAAACTTGTTGTGATATCAAATTTGCAAGTGAGAAAAGACTAGTTGTGTCAAAAAAAAAAAAGAGAAAAGACTAGTCAACCCACGTATAAAAGGGGGCAAAGTACGAGAGCGAAGGGGCCAATTTCAAAGCTGTGGGCGTTTAAAACACTTTTGGTTTTTGTTTTTTTTGACATAAAAACATTTACCATATTTAGGACTCCGATTAACCCGTCGGAGTCTGATTTTCTCTCTCTCACTCATTCAAACACAATTTCAGTAAACAATTTGTCACCATATTTCACGACTCAAAATGGCGACTGCAATCAAAGTCGTCTTCGGTCTACTCACATTTGTCACTATTGGCATGATCATCGGTAATTCTTTGATTTATTCTATGATTTTGTTTAATTAACTGATTAATTTATCAAATTTGTTGATTATCATCTTCAACTTTGTACAATTTTATTCTTTGATTTAGTACTTGATGAAATTTATAGCAGCTGAATTTTGTTTGTTATTACAGTATGAATTTTGTGAATGTGTTGTGAATTTTTATCAGTTACTCCTGTTATACGATTTTGTTTCTATTGCACAAATTACTGCTTATGAAATTATAATTTCTGTCTTAATTTTGGTGGATCACGTTACAAATTTTCCAGTTGAATATTTTGAGAAATTCTGATTAGTTTATGAGAATAACAAGTGAAATCAAAGTACATTGATATTTTTGAACGAACCGCGGAAAATTGGAATTGTGAATGCATTGCCCTATGTTGATATTTGATATTTAGATAACACACATTACAATTGCATTTACAGGAATTAGACCTCCGTAAATTTGAATTTTGGGAGCTCTTAATTTTGAGAGAAGGAAAAAAAAAGTTGTTGAAATTGCATTTAAATTGATGCCGAAAATTACTCTTCTTACTGTAATCATCATGGGATGCTACATTTGTATCATGTGATATGCGATTTTTGTATCTGAGATCACTTCCTTTTTATTTTACAGTTTACATATTTGTATAGATTGCAGATTTCTTTAGTTGAATAATTTAACAATTGAAGAATGAATTTCTGATGTAAAATATATGTTTATACTTGGGGTTCTTTAACATTGATTTTACTGTCAATGTTGTCGAACTTCAGTAATTGCATATTACAAAATTATCAGGATGATAAACTTGTATTTTCTCATTGTGCTCAATGCCATTACATTTCCAAATTTTATATGGCAGATTTAATAATACTATTGTGAGTGGCATCTTCGGTGAAGACATTATTTGACATGTGGATTGTTTTTCTTTAAAGACACCGTATATATGCTTATGAAGTTATGAATGTCAATAGGAACAAGTTACATTGCTGCTTCTATAGGTTAGACTCTCAAAATTTGTAACATTTAATAATTACTTATAGATGCATTGTTCCTAGATTATATGGTTACTGTTTTCTGCTTGATTTTTTTTAATTAATATTTTATTTTCTATTAATAATTATTTATCGTTTGTTCACCTTGTCATTAGATTTTGTCTTTCACTAATTGGTAGTATCTTTGTTTTTTTTTTCTACTCACTATAAACGAGGTCAAAGCTGTCAACATAAAACAACTTTGACTGTGTATTGCTGCTTATATATAGTTATAAAAAGTTATTATGTGAGCTCTTATTTTCATTGTTGCAATGTGTTTCTTCCCAATATCAAATTTTCATAATTTACACTAGCACGTATTTAAAGATATAATTGGTCAAACACTTGCGTTGGAGACAGTGAAAATTGCGAGTGAGTGTAACAAATAGAAAGGTGGGAGTATATAACAAATAGAAAGGTGGGAGTATATGTTTATAATGATCTTGATTCCTGATAGACCATTTTCATCAGCTTCGAGACAAAAAAAGACTGATTCGTTGTTGACATTTGCAGGTGCTTTATTTCAGTTAGCATTCATATCTCAGCTCGAAGATTCATCTGGTACAAATAATTTTATGTCCCTTGTTTGTAGTATTTCAGTTGTATATTACTAATAAATTTCTCAGTTACTAGGTCAAGTGCATTGTAACAATGCAAGTTTATTGTTTTGAAAGATACATTGCTGATTGGCCATACCCTACCGTCCATAGTGTTTGCTTATGATTTCTCTTTAGAATGGCCAAAATACCTTCCATTGATCTGTTTCCTTACTATACTCTTTATTTTCATGGGTATTATATTATTAGATGCTTATATATTCAAATGCAAGTATGAAAGAATACGTTACCAAAAAGAAAAACGACAGAATAACCCACATTTACATTTGTGAAGCCATTAGAAGGAAAAAAATGTCTATTACTTCTAGCCATTAAAAGCCATTAATAGTGTCTTGATAAGCATTTGTTTTATTTGATAAAGGGTGTAAATGAGTTGTTGCTACCTAGGACAACCAACTAAAACATAAGGCATGCTTCTACTTTATGCGGGCACAATGTGCCTGGAAGTGGCTGCACTTGCCCTGTTAATCTCAATGTATGCAACATCTTTTTACAAAACTTGGAGTCATTCTTAGGCAACTTTTTCATCAGCATGTATTAGTTGTAATATGATAGGTATGAGGAGTTGGTTATAGTGAAAATTTCAATTTATTGGTAAGGACTTATTATGTTGTATTCTTAAGGATTGTAATTAGATGGAATAGGATAAGGAAATTGACAAGTGAGGACTTTGATGTAATATGGTTCTAGGATTTTACTATATGGCATAATGCAGTAACATTGTGTAGTATGGCTTAAAGGATTTTGATACATTAAGGAATGAGGACTTATATTGGTATACTCGAAGGACTTTGATGTATGGTGAAATGATTCACAATAGCCCTTATACTGATTGTTTTTATCAATTACATTAATTACAGGCACGGGTCTTCCATCATCTAGAAAGATGCAGCAAATACAGGCTGAAGGCTATCTTCCCTTGTCCACAGGTTTATATCCTCTAGTTCTTCTCAGAAAGTATTTATCTAATGAGCTGAATAGTCTATAATGATACTTGTTCTTTGTAGCCTCAGTATACAGTTTTGTTTGTTCTATGGCATACCATGCCCAAATGAGGTTTTTTTTATTTATTATTTGCTGTTAAAAAGGATTTATTTTAATGATACATATTTTCTCTATGCTAACATAAATGTTTCACAACTCAACTACAGGCAAAGCATGCTTTCAAGAATATATACATTTATTTTAAATTTTAACTCAGGACATAATGTGATGTTTTTGTGTGACTATGAAAATTCTCTGGCGCCTTCTACTCTCTAGAAAGTATATCTCTAGGTAGTATTTCAAAGTCATGTTGCTATGCTTTTTATTTGTTCACTATTGTTTATTATTGTGTTGCTATTCCCCCGCATTACTCCTTCCTATGCACCCAAGGCTTTATTTGGAGCAGAGTGAGAGGGTGTAGATGTATGCATCTTTTCTTGTACCATTATAATAAGCTTTTTTCTGCTAGACACCTAGAACTTTGGGGATTTAAATTTCCCAGGATATTGAACACAAAAGAAGTAGAGGAAGAGGTAGGTTATTGCAATCCTGAGTCGAAATACTGTCTTTTAGAGACTGTACAAAACGGAGTCAGCCAGTCAGGAGTACCTTTGAATTAATACTTAACTTTTGTGCCTGTTATAATTGAATAGTCATTCCAACCCTTCATATTTTGTTTCTAATACTGCTTTCTCAAGGAGAAGGAAGAAGAGCAAGAAGAAAAACAAGATGGAAAACAATACCAAATTACCAAGGACTAATGCTAGGAAATTGAGCCGTTAAAAGTCTTAAAACTGTTGTTGGTTGCTTTCCTTAATTATCATGTTATGTTTTTACTTGTGTTTGAATTTGATTTATGCCATCCTGATGGATAGAAGAAAGTCATTTTCAGTTGCATCAGCATTCATAGAATTTTATTTTGTCCCTTTCTGTTTGGGGTGGGGATGTTCAATGTGTCTGCTTTGTTACATTTTTTCTTTGTGTCTATTTTCTGGCTCATAGAAATGTTAGTCTCTCTGATCATTTTTCTTAATGCAATTTTTTTTTTCTTATAGCTGGACTTTGTTTATTCTTTCCTTTGGCTTTGCAGGCATTGTTGGTTGGGGTAATGACAAAGAAGCTGCTCTTTTACGCCTTGGACTTGTAAGTTATTTTTAAAAATTGGACTTAAGTAGCTATTATCCTACATGTTGCTCCATTACATTCCAGAGTGCTATGCCCATTTTCATATCATTTTTCTCCATAGTATTGTAATTGTGTCTATTGTACATTATTCTCTTATTTCTCTATCTAAGCAGGTTATTAGTTGGATATTACTGTGACTCCTTTTAATTTATTGGGTTTCTTCCATTGGTGATTGAGAATTACTGCAAAGAGACCCCAGGTTAAACATTTTTTGAATCGTATTGGATGCAAAACGTAAAATTTACCCAGGATAAAACCTACTATGTTTTACTATATGATTTAGGTGTTATTTTCTTTCCTTATGCTGACAATCTTCCTATAGTGTTTAATTAGATTGTGTTATAAATTTGGAGAACATTGTGCAAGTATAGAATAATTAGTCAAAGGACAACCAATAATAGTTTCAACATTTATGACTCATTAGACAGGCCTCTTTGTCGTACATGGTGAATGTAAATCCGGGGAAGTTGTATATAAACTTGATTTGTTACGGCATATGTACCAATCGCCTATTATCTCTTCACTCACATCAGTCTCATAGTTCCATACTTCCATTTATACCATTGGTACTACATATAACTATTATGAGGATTTTGTTATCTTTTAGTTTATATATGCTAGAGCAATAGATACGCAAAGCTACTATGCGAGATAGAAGTGAAGGAGAAAATTTCAGTGTGACAATTTTAGAGAGAAAAGGTGTTGTGGCCTAGGATTCATTAATTTGCGAGCAGTGTGTGTTGGTCTCAGATAAAAGTATCCTTAGATTTATTATTGTTGCCCAAAATTACATAGTCAATGTATTCACCTTCATTTGGGCTCAAGTACTTGTGTTGGATCCTCAATACTACAATATGGGTATGGACCTTGATATCTGATTATAGACCAATCTTATTGAAAGGCGTCTGATATTTGGTATGGCTGTATGGGACCTGAGTCCAATCTATTTAGCGGGGAGGTTTTATTTTATTACTATTTTTTATTTTTATTTTTGGTAACTGGGAATATAAATTCCAATGGAAGTTATTTGATTGGCCATTACCACCTTAAGGTAACTAAGAAAAACTGAGACTAGGTCAGTGTATTTAGGAATAACCACTTGCCACCTTACTAATGATTTTTCCTTGGTTTATGTATATTGTATGAATGCTTGAATTTAGCTCAACTAGCTGCAAACACAAGCTATGTTAAATTATAGAATAGATCTTTTGATGGTTCAAGAGGAGATTGATTACATGATGCAAATTTGAGTTATATAATAGCTGTTGGCCTGTAGCTAATAAATTAAGAAAAGGTTCAATTTCTTCCCTTGCAGGATTACAGTAGAATAAACAAGTGCTAAGTTATTACAAGAATGACTGAGTGAAAATATAAATTAATTGATGTCAAGATTGTCAACAATAAATTTGATGTTAACTTTTATTATACCTTTTACTGGTTGGTCACATGATTATTCAGGCCCCTCTTTATATTTTGGCTATCAAACATCTTGTAAACATAATTTCATAGTCCTGACTCTTGCATGTTTTCCTTTCTTCAAATGGTGGTCATTCCTTTTCTTTGAATTTGTAGGTGAAGCCTGAGGTGATTAGTTGGTCACCCCGAATCATTGTCCTGCATAATTTTTTGAGCATGGAGGTACGTATCCTTCATTCACTTTTTGTCATGCTTGATGGATCTCTTTTTTTGCCTTGTCACCTATTCTTACAAATCTTAATACTACAATATTCAGCAACAATACCATCCTCCTTTCTTTGCATATGATGTTGAATAATTGTGTTACTACATATAAATGACCCTGTGATTAGTCAGTCGTTTATAGGCAAAATACATACTCTTAATTAAATATTTGTCTGTAGTGACTGGTGTCTGTTTTATGCCTTTTGTTTCGATTAAAAAAGCATATATTACCTCCGTTTCATATTATTTGCAATGATTTGACATAAAGTAGAGAGGAAAAATGTCTAATCGTTGCAAATAATATGAAACGGAGGTAGTACATAGCTGTAAGCCATAAGCCTCGGTTAGAATTAGAGTGTTGAAGTCTTACTTGTAGGAAGGGATAGTAAAATTGATGCTGAAGCTGTTTAGAGGTGTTGTCGAACACCATTGGCCTATGAAATTCCCCTATTGGTGATGGCCCAGTCATACTTCAGTTAAGATGGTATTATCAGTCTCTCATTGTACCACATCGCCATGTGTGAATGTGATACTGCTCACCTTGTTGTCTTAATCAATAAATTCCATAAATGATGTTGCAAGGTGTCAAACATTTTGCTATGGATCGGGTCGAGGCACCTATACTATATGCAAGGAGACGCAAGCAACAAAACAAAGAGCAAGATCAAGGCCAGCAGCCAGTGTTGTAGCAAAAAGACAAACAAAATGTGATTTCCCACTATGAGGTGTGGTGAAAAGAGCTGCTGTCATTCTGTCACAAAAGGACAAAGTTGGGGAATGCTAGGGTATTGGGATCAGGGCAGAAAAGGAGTATAAATAGAGAGAGCAATGTAACAGTGTTCTTTATGTTGAAAGAAGTAATTTTGTAGCCGTAGAGTAGTAGTAGTGTAGCCTCCAAGGTAGAAACTTTCTCCATTGTTATTTACAGTTGATTATCAATCAAAGATCCCAACTTTGTCCCATATTTCCTCTGTTTTCCTATTAATATTACTGTGATACTTGGTAGTTTATAGTAATTGGTATCAGAGCAGTACGATCATGGTGACCCCTACTCTGTCACAACGTGCTGATGCGGTGGACGAGAAGATAGGAGAGGTAGAGACGAGGTTGCAAACCATCGAACATAAATTTGATTTACAGGAAACTCACCTCAAAACAATTGCAGAGAAGATCGGTGCTCAAGAAACCACCATCGAGAGAGCGGTGCAAGCGCCGGTGGCTGGTGTACTTGAGGTGGAGCGGAAACGGACGAAGGATGTCCTAGCCAGAACCACCACAAGGCTAGAGGAGAGGATTGATCGTTTTAGAATCGAGCACGAGCGCTTAGCGGCGATTGAGAGGGAAAACAACCTGAAATTGCGGGAGGAGATAAAAAAGACCATAGCTCGTGGTCAGGGAACACGACCGCCGCCGGTCATTCAACCTATACCCATCAACGTGGAGGCCGAGGGTAGTCATAACCAAGGCAATGGTGAGAACGAGGTGCGTTCTCTGATACGGAGAGGCTGGAGAGGCGGTGGTCACGGGGAGGACGAGCCGTTTGGGTTCCTCCACTGGCCTGGGTGTGGTGGTGGAGACGCCGTCGGAGAAAATCGTGGCCATTGGAAGCACCGGAAGTTAGACATGCCGGTGTTCGAGGGGACCGACCCAGACAATTGGATTTTGAGGGCGGAGATGTTCTTCGATTTCTACCAACTGTCGGAGAAGGAGAAGTTGGAGGCGGCGATCGTGGCCATGGACGACACCGCCTTGAAATGGTTTCAGTGGGAAAAGAAGCGGCGTCCGTTTGTGGGTTGGGTGGATCTGAAACAGAGGGTGTTATATGAATTCCGACCCTCTTATTCGGGCTCGCTGTACGAACAATGGTTGGCTGTGAATCAAGATGGAGGTTCAGTAGAGGAGTATAGGAGGAGATATATAGAGAAGGCGGCGCCATTGGAGGGTATCCCCGAGGCTGTGATGATGGGCAATTTATTAACGGGTTGAGAGAGGACATTAAAACGGAGTTGAGAATGTTAAATCCGTTTAATCTGGAAGGAGCCATGGAGCTCGCGGGTCGGATCGAGGAGAAAATACGGGTAAACCAATCCAAGAAATGGGGGGCTCCAAATATGACACGAAGTGGGCCGGCCCAAACTTTTCAAACCTCTTCAAACCTGAACAAACCAACTGGATCGGGCCTCATTCAACAATATGGGGTTCCTAATCATTTGGGATCAAGTAAGACTTGGTCCAAACCTCCTGAATCACAATAATCAGTAAATATGGGAAATTCATCGAGAAATTCGCAAACCAAAAGCACCACCTACACAAGGCGGCTGACTGAGGCGGAGCTACAGGAGAGAAGGGCGAAGAACCTCTGCTTCAGGTGTGATGAAAAATGGGCGGTGGGTCATCGGAGGAAGGAGATGAGCGTGTTGATGGTGGCGGATGATGACGAGGTCACACCGGAGATAGATGACGAAACGGTGGAGACGGAGGAGGTGGGCGTGTCGCTTTGCTCTGTGGTTGGAATTTCCAACCCGAAGACCATGAAATTGCGAGGAACCATTGGAGGGCGATCCGCGGTGGTGATGATCGATCCCGTAGCTACTCATAACTTTATTGCTCTGAGATTGGTGGCGGGAATTGCGATTTCGGTAGCCAAAGGAGGGGAATTTTCCGTGGCTTTAGGGAATGGGGAGTTGGTAAAAGGACATGGGGTGTGTAAGAGCGTGGAGGTAAAATTGGAAGGAGGGGTTTCGGTGGTAGAAGATTTTTTACCACTCGAATTGGGTAACGCAGACTTAATACTCGGAGTGCAGTGGCTGGAGAAATTGGGTTCGGTGACAACCAATTGGAAGACATATATAATGAAATTTTGGGTGAAGGGGATGCCGGGAACCATCAAAGGCGATCCTTCACTCGAAAAGACTCAAGTGTCACTTAAAGCAATGGTTCGAACACTCAGCAAAGAGGGGCAAGGAATTTTGATAGAATTGAGTAGGTTGGAAAAGGCAGGAGCAGGGGAGCAAAGTGGGAAGAATGAAGGGAAGGAAGCCCCAGCGTTTTTGGCAGAGCTGCTGCAAGAGTATCGTCGGGTGTTTGAAATGCCAGAAGGTTTACCCCCAAAAAGGGATCATGAGCACTCAATTGTGCTAAAAGGGGGCAGCGATCCGGTTAGTGTAAGACCATATCGTTACCCTCAAATTCAGAAGGATGAAATCGAACGCTTAATTCATGAGATGTTGCAAGCAGGGATCATCAGACCTTCCACAAGCCCGTTCTCAAGCCCGGTAATTTTGGTGAAGAAAAAAGATGGAAGTTGGCGTTTTTGTGTAGATTATAGGGCGTTGAACAAAGAAACCGTACCGGATAAATTTCCAATTCCGGTCATCGATGAGCTACTTGATGAGCTTCATGGGGCAAGGTGGTTTTCCAAGTTGGATTTGAAATCCGGGTATCACCAAATAAGGGTGAAACCGGAAGATGTGCACAAAATAGCTTTTCATACCCATGAAGGACATTACGAATTCCTCGTAATGCCTTTCGGCTTGACTAACGCCCCGGCCACTTTCCAATCTCTCATGAACGAGATATTCAAGCCATACTTGAGGAAGTTTGTATTAATCTTTTTTGACGATATCCTTGTGTATAGTAGAGAGGAGGGTGAGCACAAGGAACACGTGAGGATGGTCTTGGATACCTTGGCAAAACACAGCTTGTACGCAAATTGGAAGAAATGTGAGTTTGGAAGGCGGGAAGTAGCATACCTAGGACATGTGATTTCGGAGAGAGGGGTGTCCATGGATATGGAGAAGGTGAAGGCGATTGTTGAGTGGGAAGAGCCAAAGAGTTTGAAGGAACTACGAGGATTCTTAGGTCTCACCGGATATTACAGGAAATTCGTAGCACACTATGCTCAAATTGCGGCTCCGTTGACTTCACAGCTTAAGAAGGACTGCTTTGGGTGGAATACCGAGGCTGCCAATGCCTTTAAGAAACTCGAAGGCGGCGATGACAACAGCCCCTGTTCTAGCAATGCCCAATTTTGAGCTTGAGTTCATAATCGAGACCGATGCTTTGGGGTATGGTTTGGGGGCGGTAATGATGCAAGGAGGAAGACCCGTGGCATATTTTAGCAAGTTGCTTGGGGTTAGAAATCAGGCGAAATCTATTTATGGAAAAGAGCTAATGGCTATTAGCTTAGCCGTGATGAAATGGAGGCACTACCTCCTTGGTAGGAAGTTCGTCATACGTACTGACCAGCAGAGTCTGAGGTTTTTAACTCAGCAAAGAGAGGTGGGGAGTGAGTACCAGAAGTGGATGCGCAAGTTAATGGGCATGGACTTCGAAATTCAGTACAAGCCCGGATCTTCAAATAGGGTTGCTGATGCCTTGTCGCGTAAAGGAGGGGGAGTAATTCAATGTGGGGCTCTAATTTCTTCACAGAGAATGGATTGGGCTGAATTAGAGCAGGAAATAGCCCATGACCCGTGGCTGGTGGAGCTTAGGAAGAAGCTGGAGGAAAATCACGATGGTTCTAAGGGTTTTTCATTAGCTGGAGGAAGGGTATTGTACAAGGGCAGAGTTGTGGTGCCAAAAACTTCCAAGTTTATTCCGAAGTTATTGCAAGAGTATCACGATACCCCAACTGCAGGGCATGATGGTGAGGTAAAAACATACCTTCGGCTAGCAGCAGACTGGTTTTGGTCAGGGATGCGCAAAAGAGTGAGTGAGTATGTAAGTCAGTGTGAAGTTTGCCGGAAGAACAAAACCTCTCATCAAGGGGCAGCAGGGCTACTGCAGCCACTGCCGGTACCCGAGGCCATTTGGGACGACCTTTCTATGGATTTTATAGAAGGTCTACCACTATCCAAGGGGGTGAATGTGATCTTGGTGGTCGTGGACAGATTATCTAAGTACAGTCATTTCTTTGGGCTTAAACACCCATTTAACGCCTTGAAAGTGGCTGACAT